ATCACAGGCAGAGAGGAGGGCTTGCTGACTGTACATGGGAGTGTTTCAGTGCTAATTATTGTTTCTGTTGGCTTTTGTAACTTTGTGTCCTGTGCTCCAGAAGGTCCACGTGGGCGGTAACCTTGTGGGGAAAAACTGTATAAAAGAAGCAGCTGTATCATTCAACCTTCAGATGTATTTCACCCTCAATTTAGAGTCCTGTCTCTTATTGGGGCAAACAGCTACAAGGGATTGCTATGCTCTTCATACTCCCTTGCTATAATCACTAAGCTCTTCTAAGAGCTTGTTCCTGTTCCTGTTCCTGCTTCGCTCTCTGGGGAAAGAGAGGTTCACCCACTGGAACCTGGAGCCTTGTCGTAGGTCCAGGGTGGGTAGGAGACGGCAAGACCCCAACAAAGCTGTGACAGTTCATGGGGTCTGAGGTGGTTATGGTCTCTGGTGGAGTGCTTGGAGCCCTCAGGAAGCGCTAGGACCCTCCTGCAATGGAGGTACCCAGTCTGGGTGCCAGGTGATCCGTTACACTCTTATTCCCCCTTTTGCCCCTCTTACCAATCTTTTTGCCCCGTTTGTATGTCTTACCACCTCTTTAGGTCTCTTTTCCCCTTTTGCAGTCTCTGACCCCTCACTTGTCTTTTATCATTGTGACAGAGCATCCTGTACCCCAGCTGGGTACCTCCGCCAAGGACAGCTTCCTTGCTGGAACAGAGGACAAACCGCAGCACTTCTGCCCACAGTCGCCGTGGCTCCATCCTGGAGCTGAAGGGGAATTCGCTCTAGGCACCCCCAGGCACTGGTCGACACTCAGTCCTGGGATCTCTAGTCCTTACAAGGACTTTCCCTATTGAATCCCCTGCAAGCTGGAACAGCAGACACAGGGGTTAAAGCTTCTTTCCCTCCAACAGGACGACACACGGTTTTGGAGTGCAAGCTGGAATCTTTAATGGCAGCCACAACTGGCCTTTTAAGCATGTCCCCATGCAAGGGGCACTCCCCCTGGACCTGATGGTAGCCTACAACAAATTTATACAAACCCCCAGGTCCAGGACACTCCCATACACAATTATACAATCCCTCCCCTATGCCTGGGAGATAATTGAGTCAAGCACTATACTAAACTCAATTATCTCCTAACACAAAAACACATTTTTACAAACACCCCAAAAGTAACTCAAAATACACAAAAACACCATAAAAGTAACCCTGATCTGGGTGACGAACATATCCAAAAATCACCCAGATCAGTTCAGGGGTTCAGGAATTTCCTGGAAGTCATTTATTTGACCGACAGCAGGCATGGTCCCATGCCCAAAACAGTTCCAGAGAATCAGGGCTTGCAGTTGGTCTAGTTTGGTAGTTTGAAAACTAACAAACTACCGAACAGAGTCAATGTTCTTACCCTGGAGCTTGTTCCCCTCATCCACACGAATGATTTCACTGAACAGTGCTCTTCTAACTTGTATAGAAACTAACACAGGCGATGATGGAAGTCCAGTGATGTTCGGGAGTTTCTGTGTCCGATTCTAGTTCATGCCCAAACACCGCTGCCTGTGTTCTTGCAAACAAGATGGTCGCCACCTCGTGGTTGTCAATAGGAATTGGGGACACCAAGACGAACAATTAGAACATTCTGGCTCCTCCTCCTCCCTCACTGCCTCCTGCCACAAGAGTCTTATATCGGGAAGCTCTGTGCGGGGCTGCACACGAAGGATTCGTGTTATTTTCTTTGTGTTTTGTTCTGCCTCCCTCTATCCAAGGCCGGCACAACCGTTAGGCGAACTAGGTATTCGCCTACTGTGCTGGGGGCACCGACTGGGATATTTCCTGGTGAGCTCCACCTGTCCTGGGATGCAGCACTGGGTGACCAGCTCTAGAACATCCCTCCCCTCAGCGCTGCGCAGATCCTCCAGGCGCCTGAAAATGGGTGCGCCAAGAGAAGCCCTGTCACGTGGGCCCAGGAGGAGGCCATTTGACCACCTCAGGACGCCCCCGATGCAGTCCTTCAGTATGGCCTGTTCTGCCAATGAATGTCGGAGGAGAGGAGGCAGGCGACAGCAGTGTGGGCGGCAAAGCAGGCTCTTCTTGCAGCTCCCCACTCCTCCCTCGCGCGCATAATTCCAGCCCCAGCATACTAAACAGCGAACTGGGGCGCGGGGGGGAGGTGCCCCACACTGGACCCCAGGGAGGCTAAATGTCTGAGTCTGTGAGTGTGTGCCAGTCATTGAGTGAGTGTCTGCCTGTGTGTGTATGTATGTCAGTAAGAGTCTGTCTGTGTCTGTCAGTGACTGAGTGTATGTATGTCAGTAGGTGTCTGTCTGTGTGTGTGCCTGCCAGTGACTGAGTATATGTATGTCAGTGAGTGTCTGTGTGTGTGTGTGTGTCTGTCAGTGAGTATATGTCCGTCAGTGAGTTTCTGTCTGTGTGCGCGTGCGCGTCAGTGAGTGTGTATTTGACGGTGTCTGTCAGTGAGTTTCTGTGTGTGTGTGTGCGCACGCATCAGTGAGTGTGAGTATTTGACTGTGTGTATGTCTGTCAGTGAGTGTGTCTGTCAGTTTGTATGTGTTTCTGTCAGTGAGTGTGTTTGACTGTGTGTGTGTCTGTCAATGAGTGTCTGACAGTGTGTGTGTCTGTCAGTGAATTTGTGTGTTGACTGTGTGTGTGTCTGTCAGTGTGTGTGTATGTCTGTCAGAGTGTGTGTCAGTGAGTGTGTCAGTGAGTTTGTATGTGTGTGTGTCTGTCAGTGAGTGTGTTTGACTGTGTGTGTCAGTGAATTTGTGTGTTGACTGTGTGTCTGTCAGAGTTTGTGTGTGTGTGTCTGTCAGTCAGTGAATGAGTGTATGTATGTCAGTGTCTGGCAGTAAATGAGTGTATGTCTGTCTGGCATTAGAATAAAGGTGTGTTTTAACCCTATTTAAGGGGGGGTCACCACCTAAGTAGTGTTTTTATTACACGTTTGTACTCCTGACCCTATAGTGCCCTTTTAAGTTTGAAAACTTTGAATTTCCATCAATTCTCATTAGTGAATAAGCCAGTGTGGAATACGAGATTTATTCATTGAACACTGCTCTGTAGCCAAAGTGCAGATCTAGACAAATTAGCCGATTTGGAAAACAATCTACATGTCAGCTTTAGTCACAGCATGCAATTTGTTGTAATTTACTGCCATTTGATGTTTAATGAATACGCCCTTTTGTCTTATGTATTCAAGGTATAGGAAAATATTGCAAAAAGGCGGAATACCGCCATCAGCTGTCACTCAGAGCAGTCTATGGGAACAGGCAGCCTCTCACATGGGCACGCAGATCAGTAAAGGATCCAGTGTTTGGGAAGAATCTGCCATATTGGGCAGAAGAAAACAATATCATTGTAGTCCGCAATGTATCAGTATAGTTCTTCTTGGCCAACATGATTGCATTTCTGTTAACTCAACGCATAGAATGTGAAGAAAAACATGTATGGCTTGGAGGAAAGACGAGACAGGGGGAATATGATAGAAACATTTAAATACCGTATTTATCGGCGTATAACACGCACTTTTTCTCCCTGAAAATAGGGGGGAAATTATGGGTGCGTGTTATACGCCGGCCCTTTAAATACTGCAGCCGCCTGAGCGCTCTGTCAAGAGCGGTCGGCTGCAGTTGGTCTCTGTAGCGTGGAGCTCTGCTGCGCGGTGCCCGGCCGGAGTGATAGGAAGGTGCACGCTCAGTGTGCACCTTCCCGTCAGTCCGAACAGGAAACAGAAACTCCTGTTCCGCGCGGAACAGGAGTTTCTGTTTCCTGTACCCGGTCGGACTGACAGGAAGTGCACTGGAGCCGCACCTTCCACCCGGCCGGCCACCCTACAGAGAGCTCTCGGCCACAAAGAGGGTAGAGGGGAGGGGGTAAGAAGAGGGGAGGGGGGGTAAGGGAAGAAGAGGGGGAGGAGTAAGAAGGGGAAGTAAGAAGAGGGGAGGGAGGGGGGGTAAGAAGAGGGGGAGTAAGAAGGGGGTAAGAAGTTCTTTATTTGAAATTTAAGGTTTTTTTTCCTGAAATGTCTTTCTTAAAATGAGGTGCGTGTTATACGCCGATAAATACGGTACATAAAGAGAATCAACACAGTAAAGGAGGAGACTATATTTAAAAGAAGAAAAACTACCACAACAAGAGGACATAGTCTTAAATTAGAGGGACAAAGGTTTAAAAATATCAGTTAGTATTACTTTACTGAGAGGGTAGTGTATGCATGGAATAGCCTTCCAGCTGAAGTGGTAGAGGTTAACACAGTAAAGGAGTTTAGGCATGCGTGGGATAGGCATAAGGCTATCCTAACTATAAGATAAGGCCAGGGACTAATAAAAGTATTTAGAAAATTGGGCAGACTAGATGGGCCGAATGGTTCTCATCTGCCGTCACTTTCTAGGTTTCTATGTTTCTAAAAGGGAAATACAGGCAGGACATGCCCCTTATTATTTAATGCCCTGAAGGAACTCTATAGGATTGGGAATATAAACAAGTATTCCTAACGCGATACTGTTCTAGCCCCTAACTGGATTCGCCCCATCCTCCTAACTGCAACTAAAAGTAGGGAAAATAAACATTTTACTTACTTTTTTCCCAGTGTTTAGACTCACTCACTGCTGGTGTCCACTCCTCTCTCTGCAACGTCCGCCAGCAGGTGTCGCTTCACTGCCTTCTCATCCACTCTAATGTTTCTCATAGAGAAGCATTGGATCTAATGCCTCCCCCTATGAGCAGCATTTCATGACGTCCAACGTCTCGTGACTGGGATAAACTCAGCCATTGCAGCTTAAAGGCCTCTTTTGGATGTCAGTAGGATACTCACTAAAGGTGTGTTTAACCCAGTTTCCACAAAAAACAGCAATGTTTTACATTGCAGGACAAAATGCCATTGAGATTAAGTGTTCTGGGTGCCTTTAGTATCAATTTGAGATGAGACAGAACTCTATAACAATTCGAGAACAGGCAGTGTTTGAGTGAGGAGGTAAAGCATAAGTATCTGCAGTATGTTTTATTAATCACGGCATTTATAGGAGAGACAGAGAAATGTTTTTGGGAGACCATACATTCTATACAGTCTACTGGCCAGCAATCCACAGCAATAGCACAGACAGGTGGTGTACTTGGACTTTATGCATGTGGGCATTATATAAACAGATATTTTTAGGAATTCATTTTGATAAAAATGTTACCAGGTTTCTTTCAGAGACCAGTTTTTAATGATTTTTTCTGTGTGTCACAAAAATTATATTTTTGCTACTACATTGATACACTTTTGGAAATGTTACGATATGAGAGATAACTTACATGTATGAAGTGAATAAATGAAAAATGTAAGTTGTATAAGTTTGTAAGATAAGGCCAGGGACTAATGAAAGTATTTAGAAAATTGGGCCGACTAGAGGGGCGAATTGCTGTTCACGCTTGCCAACAAATAGATCTCGGAGGTGAAGGGGGCTAAAGTTTTTGTAATAAAGCAGTAGTCTGATTACCCTGTTCATGTGCACAATATTGTCTTCATGTCCCCCAAGGCAATAAAAATAAATTTAAAAAAATTACAAATATCCCCACAATCAGGGTTATTTTCTAAAAATGAGAACTGCTAGGAATTCAAAGTAAATTTTAGAATTTAGGCCAAATTAGAAAAATTCTCAGAGTTAATGATTTTTAGTTTAGCTTTTTTGTCCATAAATTTTAAAATAAACTTTGTATTCCCAGCAATACTACCTTAGTGAATGATCCCTACAGCTCTTTTTTATTTGTATATTTTTTGTCTTTTCAAAATCTGTGAACCCATGATTAAATAAGTATAAAATAAATCAATGTTCTATTGATCAAAGAACAGATGTGTAGAAGCCGTTCTAAATTCAAAAGGTCTATTTGGGCACATAGAACTGTATTGTATTTGTCCAGAAAAAACAAACAAAAAGTAAAAACCGGTTAACCTGACATACAGACAATTTTATGCTCTACTGGTAAGACAAACGCCAGTGCATTTCACGGCCAATACAGAAACGCTCAGGTGAGCCGTTAATGCATACATATATACTTTGAGAAATGTTTCTCTTGTTCATGAGCAAACAGCATACATATATACATCCAAACAGATTACAGTCCAAGAGTTTAAAAAAAAAGATAAATTTATACTTCTGCAGAATTATATTATTTAAATAACATATTTACAGCTAATACAAAACATTTCAGTTAATTCAACAAAGTAGCAAAACAAACAGAGGGCATATACTGTATAATTTTTTTTGTTAAAGACCGGAGCTGTGGTGGGGAGAAGGGCTGCGTAAAGTCTGTGAGCGCAAGATCCATATACAGGCCGCAAATTGTGTGTAAAAAATAATATAAAAAGTGCTTGTAATTGGGGAATTTGTAGAGGAATGTTTGACAAAGCCTTGCAATAAAAGTGTGAAAGTGCGTGGTATCAGATGTGTGCGACCCGGAGTAGGAGTCAGAGGTTATGTTTTCTTCTACCTTTAGAAACTCCAGACTGGGGTTTGCCCACAAAACCTGATTGTGCAGGACGGGGAGAGTCCGTGGGGCGGTGTGCTGATGTCGCACTCTCTGGATATGTTACATAGCGTTAGGATATACAGGGCTGGTCATTTCCAAAAGGTGTGAGACTTACAGAAAAGGAAAAATAAAGGGGGGTGGGGGAAAATAAAAAACAAAATCAAATGTATACATGTATAAATCTGTAGTGATTGTTCCAGCCTGTTTATGTATGAATGTGTGTAGAATATTTTACATATATGCATTTATAGATATATATATATGAATAGATAGATTTCTATAGATCTCATCTTTTCTCTTTAAAAAAGCCTTGGTCTGTATTGCTTTCCTTTATAGTCACCGTCAGAAAGTTTGAAGTCACATCTGTTACCACCACTTTCTCAAAGTTGTCCACTCGAGGTCTCCATGGCTCCTCCTCTGGTTCTCCCAGAATCCTAGCAACGGGTATACGAGCAATAAGGGAAGGCTTCCCCCCATGGGTCCCTAGAGCGCCCCGATAGAAATCAGGCATTTGTCCCTGGTAGTCTGAGCTGTGTCTCATTCTGTTGACACCTGTGTCTTGGCCTTTGGAGGCCATTAAATCAGTTCTGTGCTTTGTCCTGTGTGGATGGCTGTCAATGCTACGTTGTTCTGGTGCATCCAGCCCAGCGTGGGTCAGTACACGGTCTCTATACAGGAAGCCAGGTCCTGCCTGACTAGAAGACCCTAAATCTATGTTCTGTCGCCTGGCCAGCTGGATAACACTGTGGCCAGAGTGGTACTTTACTGGCCCTGTATCCTCTGCCCTAGCAGATCCGGCCATCTGCTCGTCCTGCGCAGTGGAAGTGGAAGTAGATGTCCTCATAGGTTGAGGATCTGCGTTATGAAGACCTTTTCCGTGATGAAGTCGTTTCCTCTTTTTTATTTTCAAGGGATAATGTTCCCCTGGCATTTCTGCTCTGGCTACCCTCTCTTGGAAAAGATCTCTGGTACCACTGCTTTCCTGGGATGACGTAGGGATGTTCCTCAGCCCTTCTCTGGACCTAGTTGGCAGCTCTCTAGGTGGGCGTCCAGGATATGGGATTCGTACACCCCGTGCAGACTCACTCCGGAACTCATATGTCTTTGCATTGGCTTTGGCTTGTGCCTGAGGAGATAGAGTGGCGAATGTTTTAAGTATCTATTAGATGAATCACGTACACTTCAATAGCAATACTACTGCATACAATGGAACCAAATCACAGGTAACAAGGAAAAAGGAATGTTTTTAGATTTTGATCAGAGAGAGGTCTCATTCTATCAAAATGGTGGGTTTCAAGTGAGGTGTATGTAACTAAAGTTGTCAAATTTGTTAAGGTTTTCTCAAACCAACCCAGAACACAGGCTAACGGTGATTATCCTAAGCCCCATTCACTAAACTGTGAGGTTAAGATTGCCATTTCAAAAGAAAATAAAGTACGGTAGATTCACTGTGAACGGAGTATTGGTATCGGCTCAGTTCAATATGTCCAGCTGGACACCTGCAGAGTTATTACCCAAACTCCAAATTGCAAAAAATGAAAATTGAATGGCAACATTTAGGTTAAAATACTGGATTTGATACTTCAGTTTTGCAATCCAGATTTAATGTTACAATTCAGATTTTAGTGAATAACTCGACTGAGCTGTGAAGGGGCTCGGCGGCAAGCTACTACAGAGATAAGCTACAGCTTAGCCTGCATTTCTCCATACACCTCTACTGACATGGGGAATTATAAATAGGTTTTTAACTTCCCCCATGCTCCTGCTCGATATGCTGTGAATGGGACATGTCTGCTAAACAGCGAGAAAGCCAGTGGCTATTGCTACCTGGTCCTTGTAAAATAGAGACCCCCCCATATCCTCAAGCTAAAAACTTTATTTTTTATCAGGACAGTTTGGCCCAATGTTCTTAAAACACCTTCCTGAGTACCCCTCAACGGGGCGGAAATTGACAGTTATTTTCACTGGAGCGCCAATAGCTAGAACCTCAAATGGTGGCCTATTGGTAGTTCACGAGAGCAGGTTTAAAGAAAATTCCCTTTCATTGTATCTTCCTACGAGAGAATCCTGACTACGTACATGCTGGTTCTAGTAGCCAATCAACCCACAACTGTTCCCTTACCTTTAGAAGAAAGGTTTGGGGTTTAGGACCCCTTTTTTTCGGCCCATACAGCTCCCTTTCTCGCTCCCTAGGGTGAAAGACAAATAACCATCATGGTATAAACACTACTGGTGACACAGAAACCTAATGTACTAACAGCGTCTGTACCTGTCCTCGAAGGCTGCCACCAGTCGGGCATCCAGGATGTTTTCCTCAGGCTCCCAGGTACTATACCTAAAACCACACGGACAAAATGAATGTTATTTCTGAGGATACAAACATCCAATGTCAGAAGCAAAAAACAACTATACTTACTTCTGGGACCAACCTTTCCATTTCACCAGATACTCCATTCGGCCCTGGGGAAGAGAAACCGTGATTGCACTTTTCCAATAAAGACACAGAGGCAGGATGCTGTACGATCCCCAAAACAGACTGTTGACATCTAGGTTCAAACATTCTACATTACATTTCCCATGATGCCCAACAAGCGTTCACTTTGGCTGAGCTCAAAGGAAATTTTATCAAGCAATGTTTGGGGTGCCAGTGTTAACCATCACTGTCCTATACTGTACCAGGTACCTGCTATTCATTGAAGGTATGCCAACCTTCCCTTGGCAGACTACGACACCAACATCGTCCTACAGTATGTAATGCACTTATCTCTGTACTAATGGCTCCATATGCCATCTATGTCAAATACATGATGTTCCATGCAGCCCAAAGTACAGACTCCAAGACACCATAATAGCCTACGTTAAGCCCTACACCCAGAGTAACCCTGGTAATCGCCATTATAAAACCCCTGGGATCGTCACTCCAGGTGTAATGCCATACAATGCCTGGGAGGTCAATACCCAGCATAATACAGTACCAGTCTAAGCAATGCAGAAGATCACTATGCCTCACATAAACTCAGCCTATGCAGTCCAAGTGATCCCTACATCTAGTATAACACTCTCAGTCTATAAAATGCACTGAATCCCCTATACCAAGCGTAATGCGTAAATGCATTTTTAAAAAAATCTTTTTCTTGTTTTAGTGTATATTTCTAATTGAACTCTACGCTCTGTTGCATTACCATCAAGCTTTGTACTGGTAATATTACCCATTTTTCTCTGTGACCACACTGGGGAGGTGTATTTACTGGTACATGTCTTTTCAATCTATGTAATGCCAGGACTTGAATATTCAGTGTAATTCCAGCCTATGATCCCTACATTAAGTGTAATGCCCCTGGGAGAGAACCTGTATACAATGTAATACCAGATTATGTAAATATAATGCCCAGGATCTCTATACCCAGTGTAATGCCAGTCGGTGTAATACCGGGCTCTCTATACCCAGTGTAATGCCAGTCTCTGTAATACCAGGATCTCTATACCCAGTGTAATGCCAGTCTGTGTAATACATGTTCTCTATATAGCCAGAGTAATGCCAGTCTGTGTAATGCTAGTCTGCGTAATACAGGCTCTCTATACCCAGTGTAATGCCAGCCTGTGTAATACAGGATCTCTATACCCAGTGTAATGCCAGCCTGTGTAATACAGGATCTCTATACCCAGTGTAATGCCAGTCTGTGTAATACAGGTTCTCTATACCCAGTGTAATGCCAGCCTGTGTAATACAGGATCTCTATACCCAGTGTAATACCAGTCAGTGTAATGCCAGCCTGTGTAATATGGGATCTCTATACTCAGTGTAATGCCAGCCTGTGTAATACCAGATCTCTATACCCAGTGTAATGCCAGTCTGTGTAATACAGGATCTTTATACCCAGTGTAATGCCAGTCTGTGTAATACAGGATCTTTATACCCAGTGTAATGCCAGTCTGTGTCATACCGGGATCTCTATACCCAGTGTAATGCCAGTCTGTGTAATACCAGGATCTCTATACCCAGTGTAATGCCAGTCTGTGTAATACCAGGATCTCTATACCCAGTGTAATGCCAGTCTGTGTAATACCGGGATCTCTATAACCAGTGTAATGTCAGCCTGTGTAATACAGGATCTCTATACCCAGTGTAATGCCAGTCTATGTAATACAGGTTCTCTATACCCAGTGTAATACCAGTCAGTGTAATGCCAGGCTGCGTAATATGGGATCTCTATACCCAGTGTAATGCCAGTCTGTGTAATACCGGATCTCTATACCCAGTGTAATGCCAGTCTGTGTAAGACAGGATCTTTTATACCCAGTGTAATGCCAGTCTATGTAATACGGGATCTCTATACCCAGTGTAATGCCAGTCTGTGCAATACCGGATCTCTATACCCAGTGTAATGCCAGTCTGTGTAAGACAGGATCTTTTATACCCAGTGTAATGCCAGTCTATGTAATACGGGATCTCTATACCCAGTGTAATGCCAGTCTGTGCAATACCAGGATCTCTATACCCAGTGTAATGCTAGTCTGTGTAATACCAGGATCTCTATACCCAGTGTAATGCCAGCCTGTGTAATACAGGATCTCTATACCCAGTGTAATGCCAGCCTGTGTAATACCAGGATCTCTATACCCAGTGTAATGCCAGTCTGTGTAATACAGGATCTCTATACCCAGTGTAATGCCAGTCTGTGTAATGCCAGCCTGTGTAATACAGGATCTCTATACCCAGTGTAATGCCAGTCTGTGTAATACAGGATCTCTATACCCAGTGTAATGCCAGTCTGTGTAATGCCAGGATCTCATACCCAGTGTAATGCAGTCTGTGTAATACAGGACTTATACCCAGTGTAATGCCAGTCTGTGTAATACCAGGATCCTCTATACCCAGTGTAATGCCAGCCTGTGTAATACGGGATCTCTATACCCAGTGTAATGCCAGCCTGTGTAATACCGGATCTCTATACCCAGTGTAATGCCAGCCTGTGTAATACGGGATCTCTATACCCAGTGTAATGCCAGTCTGTGTAATACGGGATCTCTATACCCAGTGTAATGCCAGTCTGTGTAATACGGGATCTCTATACCCAGTGTAATGCCAGTCTGTGTAATACGGGATCTCTATACCCAGTGTAATGCCAGTCTGTGTAATACGGGATCTCTATACCCAGTGTAATGCCAGTCTGTGTAATACGGGATCTCTATACCCAGTGTAATGCCAGCCTGTGTAATACAGGATCTCTATACCCAGTGTAATGCCAGCCTGTGTAATACAGGATCTCTATACCCAGTGTAATGCCAGTCTGTGTAATACCAGGATCTCTACACCCAGTGTAATGCCAGCCTGTGTAATACAGGATCTCTACACCCAGTGTAATGCCAGCCTGTGTAATACAGGATCTCTACACCCAGTGTAATGCCAGCCTGTGTAATACAGGATCTCTACACCCAGTGTAATGCCAGCCTGTGTAATACAGGATCTCTATACCCAGTGTAATGCCAGCCTGTGTAATACAGGATCTCTATACCCAGTGTAATGCCAGTCTGTGTAATACAGGATCTCAATACCCAGTGTAATGCCAGCCTGTGTAATACAGGATCTCTATACCCAGTGTAATGCCAGCCTGTGTAATACAGGATCTCTATACCCAGTGTAATGCCAGCCTGTGTAATACAGGATCTCTATACCCAGTGTAATGCCAGTCTGTGTAATACAGGATCTCTATACCCAGTGTAATGCCAGCCTGTGTAATACAGGATCTCTATACCCAGTGTAATACCAGTCAGTGTAATGCCAGCCTGTGTAATATGGGATCTCTATACTCAGTGTAATGCCAGCCTGTGTAATACCGGATCTCTATACCCAGTGTAATGCCAGTCTGTGTAATACAGGATCTTTATACCCAGTGTAATGCCAGTCTGTGTAATACCGGATCTTTATACCCAGTGTAATGCCAGTCTGTGTAATACCAGGATCTCTATACCCAGTGTAATGCCAGTCTGTAATACCGGGATCTCTATAACCAGTGTAATGTCAGCCTGTGTAATACAGGTTCTCTATACCCAGTGTAATATGGGATCTCTATACCCAGTGTAATGCCAGTCTGTGTAATACCGGATCTCTATACCCAGTGTAATGCCAGTCTGTGTAAGACAGGATCTTTATACCCAGTGTAATGCCAGTCTATGTAATACGGGATCTCTATACCCAGTGTAATGCCAGTCTGTGCAATACCAGGATCTCTATACCCAGTGTAATGCTAGTCTGTGAAATACAGGATCGCTATACCCAGTCTGTGTAATACCAGGATCTCTATACCCAGTGTAATGCCAGCCTGTGTAATACAGGATCTCTATACCCAGTGTAATGCCAGCCTGTGTAATACAGGATCTCTATACCCAGTGTAATGCCAGCCTGTGTAATACCAGGATCTCTATACCCAGTGTAATGCCAGCCTGTGTAATACCAGGATCTCTATACCCAGTGTAATGCCAGCCTGTGTAATACCAGGATCTCTATACCCAGTGTAATGCCAGTCTGTGTAATACAGGATCTCTATACCCAGTGTAATGCCAGTCTGTGTAATACCAGGATCTCTATACCCAGTGTAATGCCAGCCTGTGTAATACAGGATCTCTATACCCAGTGTAATGCCAGCCTGTGTAATACCAGGATCTCTATACCCAGTGTAATGCCAGCCTGTGTAATACCAGGATATCTATACCCAGTGTAATGCCAGCCTGTGTAATACCAGGATCTCTATACCCAGTGTAATGCCAGCCTGTGTAATACAGGATCTCTATACCCAGTGTAATGCCAGCCTGTGTAATACCAGGATCTCTATACCCAGTGTAATGCCAGCCTGTGTAATACCAGGATATCTATACCCAGTGTAATGCCAGTCTGTGTAATACAGGATCTCTATACCCAGTGTAATGCCAGTCCGGGGCCCCCGTGATCGGTATTATTATTATATTTGGCCCCTGGGGGCCCCCGTGCTCGGTATTATTATTATATTTGGCCCCTGGGGGCCCCCGTGCTCGGTATTATTATTATATTTGGCCCCTGGGGGCCCCCGTGCTCGGTATTATTATATTTGGCCCCTGGGGGCCCCCGTGCTCGGTATTATTATAATATTTGGCCCCTGGGGGCCCCCGTGCTCGGTATTATTATATTTGGCCCCTGGGGGCCCCTCTCTCTCTGATGACCGGAGGGGGGGGGGGGTCCTGTCTCGCTCTCGGCTCCCCAGCGCCCCCTGCCTGTGCCGGGTTGCAGCGCTGAGGGCAGCCCGGGGATTGCGGCCTAGCCCGGAGCCCGGACCCGGAGGCCGATAACCCACCTTCCGAATCCGCCGCTTGAGCAGAGACTCCGCCGCGAACACCCGCTCACCCACCGCGGACAGCTCCATACTCAGCACCGCGGGCCCGCGCAGCGCGCCACCCGTGACGTCACCAACCTGTTGCTAGCGGCGTTGCTAATGTGGATGGATGGAAGAGTCTGCTGTGAGCTGATTGGACGAGCTCCGGTCCCCGCCCCCTTTCCTTGTCTCTGCTCTTCTGTCAGTCTGCCATTCCTCCCCTTGTAATTCGCTGTGATGTGAGCTGCCAAGATGGTGGGCGGGGCTACAGTGACTGACAGCTGGAGAAACGTCACGAGGGCGGCTGTTATGTAAACATCATGTGTGACACTGACAGATCCCTGGCTACACACACACACAAATATCTAGATATATCTATAGCTATAACTATCCATGTGGCTAATAATAACAAATATCTAGATATATCTACAGCTATAACTATCCATCTATCTAATAATAACAAATATCTAGATATATCTATAGCTATAACTATCCATGTATCTAATAATAACAAATATCTAGATATATCTACAGCTATAACTATCCATCTAACTAATAATAACAAATATCCAGATATATCTATAGCTATAACTATCCATCTATCTAATAATAACAAATATCTAGATATATCTACAGCTATAACTATCCATCTATCTAATAATAATAAATATCTAGATATATCTATAGCTATAACTATCCATGTGTCTAATAATAACAAATATCTAGATATATCTATAGCTATAACTATCCATGTATCTAATAATAACAAATATCCAGATATATCTATAGCTATAACTATCCATGTGGCTAATAATAACAAATATCTAGATATATCTACAGCTATAACTATCCATCTATCTAATAATAACAAATATCTAGATATATCTACAGCTATAACTATCCATCTAACTAATAATAACAAATATCCAGATATATCTATAGCTATAACTATCCATCTATCTAATAATAACAAATATCTAGATATATCTACAGCTATAACTATCCATCTATCTAATAATAATAAATATCTAGATATATCTATAGCTATAACTATCATGTGTCTAATAATAACAAATATCTAGATATATCTATAGCTATAACTATCCATGTATCTAATAATAACAAATATCTAGATATATCTACAGCTATAACTATCCATGTAGCTAATAATAAAAAATATCCAGATATATCTATACCTATAACTATCCATGTATCTAATAATAACAAATATCTAGATATATCTATAGCTATAACTATCCATGTAGCTAATAATAACAAATATCCAGATATATCTATAGCTATAACTATCCATGTATCTAATAATAACAAATATCTAGATATATCTACAGCTATAACTATCCATGTAGCTAATAATAACAAATATCCAGATATATCTATACCTATAACTATCCATGTATCTAATAATAACAAATATACAGATATATCTACAGCTATAACTATCCATGTGTCTAATAATAACAAATATCCAGATATATCTATACCTATAACTATCCATGTATCTAATAATAACAAATATACAGATATATCTATAGCTATAACTATCCATGTGTCTAATAATAACAAATATCCAGATATATCTATAGCTATAACAATCCATGTGTCTAATAATAACAAATATCTAGATATATCTACAGCTATAACTATCCATGTATCTAATAATAACAAATATCTAGATATATCTATAGCTATAACTATCCATGTAGCTAATAATAACAAATATCCAGATATATCTATAGCTATAACTATCCATGTATCTAATAATAACAAATATCCAGATATATCTATAGCTATAGCTATCCATGTAGCTAATAATAACAAATATCCAGATATATCTATACCTATAACTATCCATGTATCTAATAATAACAAATATACAGATATATCTATAGCTATAACTATCCATGTGTCTAATAATAACAAATATCCAGATATATCTATAGCTATAACAATCCATGTATCTAATAATAACAAATATCCAGATATATCTATAGCTATAACTATCCATGTGTCTAATAATAACAAATATCCAGATATATCTATACCTATACTATCCATTGTATCTAATAATAACAAATATACAGATATATCTATAGCTATAACTATCCATGTCTAATAATAACAAATATCCAGATATATCTATAGCTATATATAACTATCCATGTATCTAATAATAACAAATATCCAGATATATCTATAGCTATAACTATCCATGTATCTAATAATAACAAATATCTAGATATATCTACAGCTATAACTATCCATGTAGCTAATAATAACAAATATCCAGATATATCTATACCTATAACTATCCATGTATCTAATAATAACAAATATACAGATATATCTACAGCTATAACTATCCATGTGTCTAATAATAACAAATATCCAGATATATCTATACCTATAACTATCCATGTATCTAATAATAACAAATATACAGATATATCTATAGCTATAACTATCCATGTGTCTAATAATAACAAATATCCAGATATATCTATAGCTATAACAATCCATGTATCTAATAATAAAAAATATCCAGATATATCTATAGCTATAACTATCCATGTATCTAATAATAACAAATATCTAGATATATCTACTGCTATAACTATCCATCTATCTAATAATAACAAATATCCAGATATATCTACAGCTATAACTATCCATGTATCTAATAATAACAAATATCTAGATATATCTATAGCTATAACTATCCATGTAGCTAATAATAACAAATATCCAGATATATCTATAGCTATAACTATCCATGTATCTAATAATAACAAATATCTAGATATATCTACAGCTATAACTATCTATGTAGCTAATAATAACAAATATCCAGATATATCTATACCTATAACTATCCATGTATCTAATAATAACAAACATACAGATATATCTATAGCTATAACTATCCATGTGTCTAATAATAACAAATATCCAGATATATCTATAGCTATAACAATCCATGTATCTAATAATAACAAATATACAGATATATCTATAGCTATAACTATCCATGTGTCTAATAATAACAAATATCCAGATATATCTATACCTATAACTATCCATGTATCTAATAATAACAAATATACAGATATATCTATAGCTATAACTATCCATGTGTCTAATAATAACAAATATCCAGATATATCTATAGCTATAACAATCCATGTATCTAATAATAACAAATATCCAGATATATCTATAGCTATAACTATCCATGTATCTAATAATAACAAATATCTAGATATATCTATAGCTATAGCTATCCATGTATCTAATAATAACAAATATCTAGATATATCTACAGCTATAACTATCCATGTATCTAATAATAACAAATATCCAGATATATCTATAGTTATAACTATCCATGTAGCTAATAATAACAAATATCCAGATATATCTATAGCTATAGCTATCCATGTAGCTAATAATAACAAATATCCAGATATATCTATACCTATAACTATCCATGTATCTAATAATAACAAATATACAGATATATCTATAGCTATAACTATCCATGTGTCTAATAATAACAAATATCCAGATATATCTATAGCTATAACAATCCATGTGTCTAATAATAACAAATATCCAGATATATCTATAGCTATAACTATCCATGTGTCTAATAATAACAAATATCCAGATATATCTATACCTATAACTATCCATGTATCGAATAATAACAAATATACAGATATATCTATAGCTATAACTATCCATGTGTCTAATAATAACAAATATCCAGATATATCTATAGCTATAACAATCCATGTATCTAATAATAACAAATATCCAGATATATCTATAGCTATAACTATCCATGTATCTAATAATAACAAATATCTAGATATATCTATAGCTATAACTATCCATGTATCTAATAATAACAAATATCTAGATATATCTACAGCTATAACTATCCATGTATCTAATAATAACAAATATCCAGATATATCTATAGCTATAACTATCCATGTATCTAATAATAACAAATATCCAGATATATCTATAGCTATAGCTATCCATGTAGCTAATAATAACAAATATCCAGATATATCTATAGCTATAACTATCCATCTATCTAATAATAACAAATATCTAGATATATCTATACTTATAACTATCCATGTAGCTAATAATAACAAATATCCAGATATATCTATAGCTATAACTATCCATCTATCTAATAATAACAAATATCAGATATATCTATAGCTATAACTATCCATGTATCTAATAATAACAAATATCCAGATATATCTATAGCTATAACTATCCATGTAGCTAATAACAAATATCCAGATATATCTATAGCTATAACTATCCATGTAGCTAATAATAACAAATATCCAGATATATCTACAGCTATAACTATCCATGTATCTAATAATAACAAATATCCAGATATATCTATAGCTATAACTAGCCATCTATCTAATAATAACAAATATCCAGATATATCTATAGCTATAACTATCCATCTATCTAATAAATATCTAGATATATCTATAGCTATAACTATCCATGTGGCTAATAATAACAAATATCTAGATATATCTATAGCTATAACTATCCATGTAGCTAATAATAATAAATATCTAGATATATCTATAGCTATAACTATCCATGTATCTAATAATAACAAATATCTAGATATATCTACAGCTATAACTATCCATATATCTAATAATAACAAATATCCAGATATATCTATACTTATAACTATCCATGTAGCTAATAATAACAAATATACAGATATATCTATAGCTATAACTATCCATCTATCTAATAATAACAAATATCCAGATATATCTATAGCTATAGCTATCCATGTATCTAATAATAACAAATATACAGATATATCTATAGCTATAGCTATCCATGTATCTAATAATAACAAATATCCAGATATATCTATAGCTATAACAATCCATGTATCTAATAATAACAAATATACAGATATATCTATAGCTATAACTATCCATGTGTCTAATAATAACAAATATCCAGATATATCTATACCTATAACTATCCATGTATCTAATAATAACAAATATACAGATATATCTATAGCTATAACTATCCATGTGTCTAATAATAACAAATATACAGATATATCTATAGCTATAACAATCCATGTATCTAATAATAACAAATATC